TAAAGCTTAGCATACCGTCTCTCTAACCAGCAGTCTACAGACTGACCAACTTCATCTACCTCCACTCCACCACCAGTTTCAGGCCCTGGGGGGGAAACAGCCCTATTCTTTTCTCCTGTTCATGCATATCTATCAAAATTCAGCGCTATGTTCCTGCTGAAGTCTGAGCACAAAAGACCAAGTAATTATATCAATAAATTTCTTCTAATTGTCTTTTCTCTTCGTATGAGTTTTTTAAAATTGAACTTATGTTTAGGGCCATAAATGACAAGGACAAAACAGAAATAAAAAAAACAACAAAATAAACAGGTTAAAACCTACGTTTAGTTACAGAAAATAAAATAGAGCAATAAAAAGCTTTTATTTTTCAAGCCAGAAAGGCTCTTTGAACACGTGAAATTATTTTAATTGTGTTTGACCCTTTTTGCAGCCAGGAGTGAAGTCATTGTCTCTTTGTACTGCAGTTAATCCTTCCTTCATAACAGTGATCTGTGTACAAAAAAAAAGAAAAAAGATACAAGGCTCTCTGGATCTAAACAACCACCTTAGATATAGCCATGGATCTCCATGAGGCAGCTGCCCACCACCACTACAGCAGTCGCTGATGTCCATCTGAGTCACTTGGTTCTTCAGTAGACTGCAACAAGGATATGGCATCAGCATTTGTGGTTGTTTGCTGTATTTTCATCACAGTAACCTCAGCATGGAGTAAAGACGGAAGATGCTGTCGAGAGGAGACATCAAGGAGGGGAGACAAAAGGTCACACCCAATGTCAGTGAAGAAGGAAGTAAAAAGTGTAAGAAGCACATCAGAGGAAATGTCTAGAGATGGAAAAAAAATGCATAGACCAGGCAAAATATTATCCATACAAATTCTTTCGTTTTTGTTTTTTTTTTTTATATTTCATGGCTCTGCATCAAGAACAAAGCAACAGCTACATTTTAAACACTGCAAATTATTTGATTCCTTTCAGACCTTATGTGCATTTTTGTTGATATTCTCATTCACTATAACAATAACTTATTTTTATAGTGTATTCATTCAAAGCTTTATTGAAACCATTAACATTCAATTAGCATTGTATGCCAGTCCTTTTAAAATGTGTGTTACCTTTGGTTGCATCTATCTCAAACAGAAAATGACACAAAGCCTTAAATCATAAGTTTACGTTATGCTTTGCCAATGTTGATGTAGTCAGGTGAAAAAAAGATGTTTTAGAGGCTTTACACATTTAGAGGATTTGAAAACAAAATCTGACTTTTACTTTAGAAATCAACATTCAAAACAACTGACAATCTTTCCAGACACTGATAGACAGATAGGGGATCTATGACGGCAATGCTTTCTTGTACTCAAACCATTTTGTTGATGATAATGCAGTGTATTTTTTGAACTGCTCTGGTACATCCTGTATTAGATCCCTCCCACAGCATGGTTCAACCACTCCCTCTACCTTAACAGTTGGTGTGTTTTTCTATGGATTATAAGCTTTCTCTTTATCTAGAAACGTATGGTAGTTACAGCCATGTTGCAAACATGTATTCAATATTAAGGGCTTTGTCCCTGAGTGCTGTTACAAGTGATTTTCTGCCTTTTTATAGTGTTTTGATCAGGAGTCTGCAACCTGTTGACTCTCTACAATGACTCTAGTAGCTTAAAACTTAAAATGATATACAGAACTAAAAAATGTGCTATAATAACAAATACCAGTCTGAAAAGCTTTAGTGACTTTTATAAAGAATATTTTAATAGAATTTTTACAACAGTGACATTAAAAGAACCAGAAAAAACTGCTGGTTGTTTAAGATGGCAGAAGATTTCCTATTGCAGATATTTTATAAACATAATACGTTGTCTGGTTCTCTCTGGGTACCCTGGCTTCCTCCCACAGTCTAAAAAAATGACTGTTAGGTTAATTGGCTTCTCTAAATTCTCCTTAGGTGTGAGTGTGTGCATGAATGGTTGTTTGTCTTGTTTGTCTCTGTGTTGCCCTGCATTGGACTGGCAACCTGTCCAGGGTGTACCCCGCCTCTCGCCCATAGACAGCTGGAGATAGACTCCAGCATCCCTCACAACCCCAACTGGGATTTAACGTGACAGAAAATTGATGGATGGATAGATGCAATTTTTTTTTTAAATGTCATGCAATATTTTGCGGCTCCAAACAGCTTTTTCCTAGCCGGACTCAGAACAAAAAGCTCTTTGGATATGAAGGGTTGCAGACCTCTCATTTAAAGGCAAGGTACAGCAAATCTATATTGCACATTTCAATTGGAAGGCAATTCAAATTGCTGCACATGAGAATAAAAGAAAGATAAATTATAGAGGCAACACAAATAGTTAAAGAGAATGAAAGGTATAGATTATAATAAGAAGATTACTAAACAAAAGATAAAATGACCAAGAACATGGAACAAAAGCTGGAAAGGAAACTTTACTTAAAATGTTTAGATAGCACAGTCAAAGGCCACTCTAAACAAATGCAATTTTATACTTGATTTAAAGCAACCAGGCGTTTTAATAGAATTTAAAGCCGCCTTTGCATGTTTGGGTCTGGTTCAAGGTATGCAAAGTAAATTAAGACCTGGGCTAGGTCTGAGTGGCTGATACACTAACAGCAAGTTTGTGATATGTATTAGAGCTAAACCAAATTAATGATTTAAAGACTAACAAAAGTATTTTAAAAACTATTCTCTAAAAGTTGCGAAGCAATGGTTAAGGATTTTAGAACTGAGGGTGTGTGCTTCAAAATATTTGTTTTGGTGAGGACGTCTGCAGCAGCAACATTTTAAACCTAATTGGTGGCTTCTAGTTGTGTAACTGTTGTATTTTGGCAGCATTTCAGGAATAACTTCTTCCACTTGAAGGGGCCCTTCAGTCTTTTTTGGTACAGGCCTTGTTTGAGTGTGAATAATATCTCTACCAGTGACAGTCTAGTTCCCTTTTGGTTTAATAAACACATTCTCCACCAAGGTTGGTAAACAGAACCATCTCCTTCTTGAATGCTATGTCAGCATTGTACTTATTTCTTAGACATATGTATTTGAACATGAGAGCATCACCTCTTTAAACATCTGGAATTTGTACAAACGTGCGAATCGGACCTCTGAAGATTTCTTTTGATTCTTCCATGAAGTGGGGGGAAGCGAGGTGTCACAGGCCTTGGGTCTCTGTGCATGAAGTCTACATGTTCTCCCCCTGCATGCGGGTTCCCTCTAAGTTCCTATATAGTTTCCTCTCCTCTCTCTACCAAGCTCAGCATCTGAAAAACTACTGCAAACTCATTCTCTAAATCACATGCTATTTCAGAATAATCTGTTTTATTAGCAAACAGAAACATTTCACATTGCTACTTTTCATGAGCAAACATGGTTGTTTGTAAAGCAGATGAATAAATTGTAAGCATTTTTATCATTCAGTCACTTTATTTTGGTAAATTAGCCACATTAAACATAGGAGACAAAAAAGAAAAGGAAAAAAAACAGCAATAAAGAAAAACACAATTTACCAAAAAAGGAATAGGTTGAAGCAAAGCTTATTCTTGCTGCTGCTGTTTCTATACCTTACAACCTACCAGAATACAGAATACCTATATAAATCTACATCACAGCATAATGTTTCATCCTTTTACATTTTAAAGCTCTTTTAAAGTTCACCAAGAAAAGACATAACTTAAAATCATCATTTAATTCATTCCAGTTTCACACCAATAACTGAAATACATGTAGATATTATCTGACTATTCTCTTTTGCACATTCAAATATAAACAAACCCCGCAAATAATATTTATTCGCTCATAGCTTAAATCATTTCTGAATACCTGAAGGAAGACTTTTGGTCAATGTTTATACATTTTTTCCAGTATTTTTATATTAACAATATCTTTCAATTTTATTGTATTACTTTGAATAAAAACTTTATTAGTTGGTTCACAGTATTCCACCTTATTAATAAGCCTTATAGCTTTTTTTTATGCAACTTAACTAATATATAAATAGTTGTTTTACTTGCATTTCCACAGATTTCTGAGCAATAAGATAAATAAGGCATAACCAAAGAGGATCATATAATATGCAAGCCTTTAACATTTATTAAATCTTTTATTTAAACAATATTCCAATAGTTTTTTCAACTTTATATCTAATATATTCTATTTGAGGCTTCCAACTATTGTAAGTTTGTTGTCTATAATAATCTCTGGTGCTGATACACTGGTGATGAAAAAGGCAGATGGCTCCCTCTGCTGGAGGAATAAAACCACTTTATTAATTTTTTCATAGAAAAAAAATTATTTTATCAAAAAGTTAATGATACAGAAATGATACCAAACGTGTAGGAAATAGAAATATAATATTTAGTTATGCTTTTTAATAACACCAAACATTTTTTCTGCAGATAAACAACAAAGGTAATAATTTATTTTTACATACAACCCCTCTGATCTTCCTTCCTGACAAATAATTCAGATCATCTGTTTATAAAATGGTGTCCTCATCTATTGTTTTTCTGTCATGTAAATTAATGAAGAAAATGGATTTGAAATTGTGTTCATATGCGATCACATAATCCAATTCTTTCTTGAATAAATGGGTGAAAGTGAAATTCTAAAAGAACATATCTTGAACTCAGTTATGGCTATTTAAGTATTCATTCTATCATTTCTATTAGTTCCTGTTCACACACTAAAATGATTGAAACAGTTTTACTTTAATGTCACCCAGATCCTCACGTCTGATTGGTTGACGTCGAGTGCAGGTCAATTCCAATATAAACATTTTTAGTTTTCAATATATTATCAGTGTGTTTTATTGGAATATTATGTAACAAAAAGAAGAAAAAAGATTTAACACTTTGCATCTGTATTCAATTTTGACACTGAGCTGCATAATTCTTTAGCTCAGGATTGTGGTGTTTACAGTTTACCAATGTGGTTATTAGTCTTGAATAGTTAAATTGACAAATATTTTTACAAAAGTACAAAGTTCTCATATGAAAAAAATAAAAGTGATGTAGAGAGGTATTAAAATACTTGCAGCTTTTAACATTCACAGTACACCAATGCAGGCAGGTGTGTCAAGGTTTAACATCTTCTACACATGGAGAACCTCCTGGACTTTGTGCCTCGGTTCCCTTAAGGAGCGACAGGTTGCTCAAAGTGCCACTGTTGTCTGGGATGATATGAACACTGCCGAAGAAACACACCTCCTAAACTGGGCGTGGTACCAGTTCCTCCATCTTCCAAAGCCTCTACACACAACTGAGACTTTTGGTGAATAAGCTGGAAGGTAACCTTTAAGCAAAAAAGGAAATGTCAAAGGTAAAGAACATGAAAATTCTTGTAAGAGATTCATATCAAACATGCCTTATTAAACTTCCACTGCAGTGTGCTCTTTGTAGATCGTTGAGCAGGGCATTGAGAGAGGACCACCCTGTCTCCTTTGACATCCGAACACAAGGATCCCATGGCCCCCCATCGCAATTCACCATTTGAGTTTAGCTCGCAGTGCTGCAACATCAAAAGAGACCACCTAAATAATCTGGTTCTTGCATTGCTGAGAAATGTGGTGCCTTTTTGACCTGGCTGCCTGTTCCACTGCATGGTGCTATCTTCATGGCTCCACCCTGCTGCTCTTCCCCAGTGGTATAATCCAAACAGCTGCCTGTACCCACATTGTATAGCTTCAACCAGACATATGTTGCTTACATTAGTGTAAAGCTGAGGTCTCCAACCCTGGTCTTTAAGATCTACTGTCCTACAGATTTTAGATGCATCCCTGCTTCAACACAGCTGAATCAAATCAATGGCTTGAAAAGATAATCAATCATTTGATTCAGCTTAGTTGAAGCAGGGATGCATCTAAAATCTGTAGGACAGTAGATCTTGAGGACCAGGGTTGGAGACCACTGGTGTAAAGTAAGCAAGCATGCATTAATGTTTGTGATGCACTTTACCTCGCCTGACAGTCCAGCCCTGTCCTGAGGGATGTAGAGCTGAGGAAAGACTGTAGATAGAAACCAACGGAAGCTCCTACAACCTAAAGTCCTCTTCAGCTGCAGACGCTCAGTGATATTCGGCCTCTCAGACTGCAAGAAAGAATTTTTTATTTTATTTTAAACTTAGTTTTAATACACCAATATACTCTTCAAAACCTTCTAACTCTTGCACACAAACCTGCCTGATGAAATGAGCAAGCGTGTCCCTCCGGTAGAAGATCTTCCTAAAAAAAGTGTCCATCCAGGTATCAGCAACTTGGATCTTGCTTCTCTGAATAACATCAGGGTCAGGAACATTGCTTTGCAGATCTTTGCGAATTAAGTGGGCCACACGGGAGCAAGGAACCACCTCCATGGAGCCCCCACAGGACCACACCTGCACAGAGATTTAAGGTTCTGGTTTGTACAGCTTTACGCTGATAAAAAGGAAGTTTAACTGTTAATGACATTCAAAAATAAAACAAAAAAACTCAAGGATTAAGAAGCAGAGGGACCAAATGATCAATATATCAAAACAGAGAGTAAGAAGGATGAGATCACTTAGATGATAGCTGATTTGGGAAATATCTTTACAAAAAAAAAAACATTTCAACAGCATAGCATGGATCGTATTTAAGACTGTGGATTTATGAGTTAACTTTGATGTTAAGAAGCAGAAGACCCAGGAAGAAAAACAGAAACGGGGAGATTCAGCAAGCAGTCAGCAACCTACAACTTACGATAACAGATCTTATTTCTTTGAAACTATTTCAAACCATTTTTCAGAAATAGGGAATGTGAATCCATTAATCAGTGAGAATTCTCCAAATTTATTTATTTTTATTTTTTTACTGATCTTGTTTATCTTATTTCTATATTTTGTTGTTATCTATTTTGCAATGTGTGAGACTTGTGTAAGTCGATTGATGTGTGCTGCAGATTTTCTGCCAAAGTCCACCTTGCAAAGTAGGTTTTCTCACTGGGGATTTTGTGTGGTTAAATAAAGAAAATGAACGAATAAACAAATGAGTAAATAAAAGGAATGAATGAATGACTTAATTAATTAATAATATTGTAGCAGCATGAACTTTAGCAGTAAAGAGGTAAGGGAGACACAATTATAATGCTAATTCAGACCATGTTAAAGTTATTCTGTTTATAAGCAAATAGAGGGCATTAGTTTCTGTAATCTTAATGAATCCTAATCTTAATACATTTGATTAGTATCAGGAGCAGAACCTGATAACAGACCTTCTAACTACAAAAATCATTTAAATATAACTGATTGTCCCACCGTTCAGGACATTAAAGTCATTTTAATCTGTTGGTTTTTCATAAAACTGTAAGTAACTTTTGAAGAATCTTCTCAGATCTTTGTTTGTATTTGCAATATTTCCACAGCATACTCCTATGGAAGAAGACACCTAAACATGTTTAAACACTCTTCATAAACAAATAATAATAAAGTTCATGTTTTGTTTCATCTGTTTGTTTGCTTTTCAGTTTTTACCCTGATTGAGAACTCCGTTTGTCCGGGGCCCCACTGCAGTATCTTTGGATCATAGGCTCCCAGAGTTTGGAAAAACTCTCTGTTAATGGCCAACACCTCTCCACCTAAAGCTGGGCTCCTGTTTTAAAAACATGTATAGAAAATACAGTGCTGTGTTATGTACTCTGAGGAGAAAAACATGAATATACATTTTTAGCAAAAGTAAATTTGCCAAAAAAGAACGAAATTCTACATTCTGCTACAGAGGAACTGGTAAAAGTTGCAGTGTGGATAGATAAAGCTAAATACGGGACAGAAGACTTTAGACTGAGAAATATCTGCCTCAGAGCCAGAGAAACAGTAGACTGTTGTAAAATAAAGGATGTGTACTGGAATGGCCCAGTTAAAGTTCAGAACTACTGAACTTTAGCTTTGATGACTCAAAAAAAAGTGGCAATCCACAAAGGCCACAGATGCACCATGGACTAATTTTATGCAGGCAAAAAAAAATAAAATGTTCCAGGTGAACTCCTTTAGTTTTCTCAGTTTATTTTCTCCTCAGGCAAGCGAACAGAAAAAGACAAACATTTCCCCCATGTTTTTCTTGCGCTGTTAAAAAACCATACGCCCATCCAGATGCATGCCGGTCCTACCACTGACTGCCTGTTTATAAAAAATAATTCACCCAAATTAATCAAGACTAACCAAAAATAAAGGAACATGTCTAAATAACCAAAAAACATAATCTTATAACAGATATCAAACAATAAAGTAAATAAACTTAGCTAGATTATGCACAAGAAAGAAAAAACTTGGTTAATTATTAACAAAATATTATTGGCTCCTACAACTGCATTTATGTATCTCTTTCCATCCTGACTGAACATGAACAAAAATCTCTTTTTTATATGTGTGCAGATGATAGATGATATATATGGAGGACCAATCCTGCCATAATTAAAAATAAATACAGAAATACATAAATAAATGCTTAAAAAACAAATAAGCATACAATTAATTGCCCCCCAAATGACAATAAACAAATAAATAAATGTAAGTTGAAATTAATTTATACAGTGAGACCTCAATATATACATCATAAATAAATACTTAAAGAAATAAGTAATAAATAAAGTCGAAGAATATATAGGACAATTAATAAATAAGGTAAATATTAAGAAGGCAAATAAACAAAGAAGCTAATTACAAGAGATATTTATATATTTACGTCTCA